TCTCTCTCTCTCTCTCTCTCTCTCTCTCTCTCTCTCTCTCTCTCTCTCTCCTCTCTCTCCTCTCTCTCTCTCTCTCTCTCTCTCTCTCTCTCTTTCTCTTTTCTCTCTCTAACTCTCTTTTTTTCTTCTTAATGAAATGGCTTAGTTCTCTTAGACATTGACCCAGATATGCAAAATGGCTTCACTTGTTTTTTTCTCATTTCTCCACTGTCACTATTTTTGGTTTGCCAATAAGTCCTATTGCTGTTTTTATGATGGCTTCAATATTTTCTTGCAGTTGATTTCAGTGTAGGACTACTTAGCTTTTTTCTTTCTCCCTCAAAATATTGATATGAGATGAATGTCAGGCAAAGAAATATTTACCACTGAATCTCATTTTAATTATGTTTTTTCTTCCCTCGTTCCCAGCTCCAAGAAGGGCAATGGTCAGCTTCCAAGCAGAATGTTCATATCTCGCCCGTCATTGCTAAAGGAGCTCTTGGCTGTGAACCACATAGAGAGCATTTACCACATTTTTGTAGCCATTTTGATATTGCTCTTCTTCAACAAAGTGCTGGAGGAAATCATACAGACTGGGAGGTTAGTCGTGAATAATCTGATATTTTCATTTCAGTTTTGATGGAAATAATTCTATAAATTAAGGGAATGTTCAATATCTTCTTTCATGATCATTCATTTTAATGAAAGGCAAATAGATGTATTTCAGAAAGAGGTATATATTTTATTATCAGTTTGCAATAGTTACTACTTAAAGTGAATTACAGTATGTATATGACGATATCAATATCTATATCTATATATGTATATATACATGGCAATATCAGCATCAATATCTATATCAGTGTATTTTTTTAGAAGTCTTGAGGCTTCTTGGTCATGATGCGAAGCATAATTTTCCTGTAGGAATATCTTCAACATTATATGACTTTCTGATTGAATAATTTTTTATAGGATGTTGGTGTCAGATTTATATATCTAATAGATTGATATCTCCTATTATCAAACATATAACCCTAATTGATAACAGTGATATTCATGTTTCTGTATATGTAATGGCTAAACAGTATGATAATGGTATCTGACTTTCTGGGACTTAGTATTGGCTACCCAAGAAAGTTTAATTATTTTATGAAATACACTGATATTGTTGCCTAATGAACAAATTTTTAGCTACCAATGTTAAATATTATTTATATCTCTCTCATGCTCATCTATTCATTCATCTATCTATATGTGCATGTAAATACAGTCACATGGGTTACACATAATCATAGAAATATCATATCTGCATACTGATCTGTATATAAATTTGCTTGTTGCTTTCAAATGCTTTTTTTCCCCTTGTTCTGAAGGTTTCAATTTTTTCTAATTTTCATTTTTAGCTTAAACCTTGATTTATCACTTATCATCTGGGCCTTTGGTGGACTTGACCGGGTGATTGTCATATGGGTGTGCATGTTCACAAGTACATCAGTCTTGGTATACCTCGCTTTCCACCATTGGGCTCACCACAGACAAAATATGCCAGGTGAGGCCATCTTTCATCCTTTTTCAATGTGATAACGTTTTTCTTTTTATTGTGCATGTATTTTCTGCTTTTTATAAGGCATTTTATTGGTCATGGAGGCTCTTTGTTATCTGAAGAGGAAAAAATTGCATTTGTTTAGATATGGAAATTTGGTGTGCAAATATTTGCATTTTGTAAAAAAAATAAGCTGATCTAAATTAGGAAATAAAATGAAGCATTTTGACTTAAAGATAAAGTTGAAGTTGATTATATTTGTTTTATCTAAAAGAAATCCTTTGAATTTTCATTTTATAATACATCTTATAATGACTTATAAACATGATTCCAGTCTATTCCTTTAAGGATCAGTTCTTATTTTGTTATGGTATTTGATATCTTTTGTGTAGATATGATATTGATCTGTAGTTTAAGATTGAAACATATTCAATTGCAGTGATATATGATGGAGTTGGTGGAGTGGCTTATGTTGTGTATTTGGGGCTGTTCCTTCACCTTCCTCTAAAAAGCCTAATTGCAAATGAACTTCCCCCTGCATCGTCTTTCATTGTCCTTTGTGAACAAGTAAGAGAATGTAATTTTGGGTTCAGATTGACTTTTAAAGGTGCATTCTAGTACAGCTGTTTGGTTGAAGACTATTAGAAGTCCTTTATAGGCTGGTGTGCACATGTGAATTAAATTTTCAGATGAGACATTGCCATTTTACACATTTTCATTATACCATATGATATTAATAAAATTTGTTAATCTATTTTCCTAGGTTAGAATGTTCATGAAAACTTGGGCATTTGTAAGAAGTAATTATGAACGTGCTGTGAAATATAAGAAGGATGATAATGCGCAGTCTGTGAATCTTTGCCCAGATTTCTCGCATTATCTTTACTTCCTCTTTGCTCCCACTCTGGTGTACAGAGACGAATACCCGAGGTAAGTGATGTTATTTGAGTGTTCTTTTTTCTTTGTCTAGGAAGTGCAAAAAGTGATGAAGAGAAATCTGTCTGTATATTTCAAAATCATGAGGACATGACATAAAATCTATTTTATATGATATGCAATATGAATTATTTATTTTTGATGGTTAGGGGAGGGCTAGATTGATGATTAAAGTATGATTTGTCCTTGAAGTTTTATATTATTATTATTTTTTAGGTGAAAACAAAAATTATATTTTCTGAATATATTATTTTGCAAGATTTAGGGAGTGTTGGTTCCTTAGAAGTATCATACTTTACTTCTCAGTATAATGTGATAAAATGCCTATATACGAGTAACAGCAGTGGGTTTCAAATATAGTTTAAAGCATCAAAGGAGACCTGATGAAAATTTTACATTATCTTTTCCTCATTTCAGAAACGATACTTGCGACTGGCAGAGTGTATTCAATGACCTGAGTCAGGTCATTGGTTGCCTGTTTTACACTCATTTCCTTTTTGTTCGATTTTGCATTCCTGTTTTCCAAAAGTTTGGTCAAGAGTCCTTCAATGGGGTAAGAGAATTTCTCTGTTTGTATGGATATTTATTTGCTTTAGGCAGTTACTTTTAATTACTGTCTTTCTGTAACCCAATATTAAAGATTTATGCAACTGTTAGTATCACATAATCCTGGTGATTCTCTTTGTTTAGTAGAATTGCCATCTTGTTGACTAAACAGATCTAATACTCTATTTCAGACAAACTTGCTGGTGGCTGTGTTTTCCTGCATGTTTCCAGGGTCATTGGTACTTCTTTGTGGATTCTTTGCAGTCCTTCATGCTTGGCTGAATGCCTTCGCAGAAATGATGCGCTTTGCTGACAGAATGTTTTACAAGGTAGGGGAGATTGGAGGCTCTTTATAGTGAGTTTTTAAAAACAATTTATTCAGTAATTGACATTTCTTTCCTTTTTTGCCGTATTTACTTTTATCTTCATGAAATATCAAACAAAGATTTGTTTTCCTAACTTTTTACTCTTCTTCAGGATTGGTGGAACTCAACTTCGTATGCCAGATTTTACCGCACATGGAATTGTGTGGTTCATGACTGGCTTTATGAATATGTGTATAGAGATGTTGTAGCATGGCAGGTGGGTTAGTGTATTGTCAGAGGTTGAAACAGTGTTATACTTTTGCTGTATTGGGTGTTCCAGACTTACAGCTGTGATTTATTGAATCTCCTGTAATTTTTACTTGTTTTAATTGTTTTTCTATTTTTCATCTTTATTGTTACTATTAACCTGTGCATCATTACAGAGAAAGCATGGTGAAAGCTGTGCAAGACTCCGATGCTTCCCAATGTTGGTAGTTTTCTTCATATCATCTGTGGTGCATGAATACATTCTGTCTTTTGCATTTAGATTCTTCTATCCTGTGCTACTTGTCATGTTTGGAGGCTTTGGAGGTAAGGATTATTTATTAAAAAAAACTAATAAAGTCATGGTATTTCTTGAAAAGAATATTACTTTTATATTTCATGACTAAAGGTTCCTCTGGACCAGTGTTTTTTAACCCTTTTAGAGTCATGGACCCCTTTATAAATCAAATGAGAGGTATAGCCCCATTCCCCAGAGAAAAGTCACATAAACACAACTTCGCATGTAATGTACTTCATTTATTGAGATTTAATTGTCTCATACATATATGTGATATACAAAACTTTAAAAGTAAATCATCTAAAAGAAACATACTGTTATAAATGTAAATTTTTCTCTGATCCTCACAAACCCTTGAAACCCAAGGCAGTTTGAACCAGGTAGCTCCACTTCATCTTGATGAAAATTTTTGTTGGCAACTTCTGAGCCAAGCACTGCATGTTTGCCTTTATTCCTTACAAATATTAAATATTACTTTGATATCTTGCTTTCAGTTTCATATATTATTTTTTTTTTACCATTGTTGTTACTCAACCATTTGCAATGAAAAAAGAAAAAAACACTTCCCATAAAACATCACATAGATTGACCAGATCAAATAACAAGGCCAGAGCTAATGATGCTATCATGTTTTGGCAGTGAGAGTAGGTTGTGAGATATCAGATATTGTTAGATGCATAGTTATTTGTATAATTTACTTAATATTGTTATGATTAACAGAAGGAAGACAAAAACTCCTCTCTTTTATTTATGATAATGAAGAGTTCCCTACCATTAGCAGCTGTCAGAATACTCTTGAAAAAACGGCAGCTTAATATTTTGGTTCATTTGGACAAATGGAAGTGGAGCTACCTGAATATATGTTCCTTGTTAATACTTGTGGTCCCCAGCTTAAAAGCCCCTGCTCTAGAAGATACATTTCTTTTGGAACAGGAAAAAGAAAAAAATATATTCTTTAATTTATTGTGAGCTTGAATCTGCTCCTCTTCCCTAACAGAATCTAAATTTTTCAGTTGCTTTCATGTTCGTGAACAGTAAAGCCCGTCAGTTCAACATCTTTTTGTGGGTGACGCTTATATTTGGCACAGGAATCTTGATGTGTCTCTACAGCATGGAATGGTATGCTCGG